GTCGACAGAAGGGAAAGAGCAAGAAGAAGAGGACGAAGACGAGGCAGCGGAATTGAATACTTGGTCAAATGGAAGGGATACCCAAGGGAAGAAAACTCTTGGGTAGATGAACAAGACCTAGACAACGCCAGGGACGTAATCGAGGATTTCGAACAAGTATCCTTCATCACTCGACCACCCGCAGACTGGTGGGAGGAAAATAATGAATCTGATTCGTGGTCCGAAACAGAATCAGTAACGGAATCCGAAGTTGACCACCCTTTGGTTCAGGCAATACAAGAATACCTGATAAAGCCAAACGTGCCCTCTTTGCTTGGAGCCTACCTTCCGAAACCCAACTATACTGCAGTCGGGACGACTGCCTTAACAGGGGGGTAATATTACGATTTCGCGCTATATCTTATCTTATCGGCTTCCTTGTAATCCTGCTATGCTAATCTTCCGGACTTGATCGCATTCTACCATGTGGGTTCAGTGCGTTTACCGTACCGTTGCAGACACTTGTAGTATATTTAGCACGACTCAAACTGTATTTAAGTAGCTCGACTGCAGGTCTTAAACCTCAGTCTCGAACTAAAGTTTATTCACCCGATAACTTAGTCTGAACTCACTCTCGCTCAACTAAGCGATAGCTCCCTGCACATAAACCTGCGAGCAACATAAGGCGCCTGACCGAAGTGCGAGTCACGCCTAGTTGTTTGATCTTGTTTGTGTAATCGGTCGCTAACACACTTCTGCTCCCTTATCTCCCCAAATGACACGTCGAACACACCCTCTGCTGACCGTACTCATACACAGTCAACAGGATATCACGGCCTCCTTGGAAGTAGTCGAGATGCGGCGCCGTCATGAGATATACGCGTGTAATTTCTTTAACAGGTGCGCCTCAGGCATTCACTCCAATGCTTGACAGGACTTTACCTTACCTATTGTTCAGTTTCCGTCTTTATTTTGGGTTCGACTCGCCGATCCTCTATAGTCATATAACAGGAGGCCAGCCAAGAACCGTGCTTCCCCAAACTCGGATCCCGTTTCCCCAAATGATTAGCTAGGCACCCCTCCCCAAGGAACGCGAATTCTACCAGCGGCCGGCTGCATCAGCAAAACCCAGAAGTTGTCTTTTGCATCTTTTCAGTCTTGCACAAGACCAAAAAGACAGCAAAGACAAGAAGATCAAGGGTCTTTACCAAGTAAGGTACATATTCTCGTCAAGAAGGATTTTGCCTTGGCAAGATCTATCGCTGTCTTAGGAAGAGAACATCTTCCCGTCTTTTGTTTCTTTCTCTTTCATGTTCCAATGGCTTTGGAGGATATAGAAATTCTAGTATATTGATTTCTATCTATGACAATGAACTATAGCACATAACGCTAACACTACGACCCTTTCTGCCTCAGAGATAGGAATGAAGCCGTGACATAACAAGAGAGATGTTGCAAGAATGGGCACCTATAGGAAGGATAAGAACGTGATTTCGATGGCATGACAGTGCTAGGAATATATCAGTATTGCATCAGATTGTCAAAAGAAAACACACCACAGAAGGGAGAACAACAGCTAAGCAGTCTAACCGACACAAAATACAATGGTGAATAATTATATGGGGGAATGGAAGAAGCACGCACCCTCCGGCACATCCCTTCCTGGATGGCCACCATCCTAGTCTTCACAACAGCCCTCTCCTTGGTCTGCACACATCCATCTACAGCTCTGGTCAGTTCAGCAGCGAGGGATGATGAGGTGTTGGGTCGTACCACTTCTTTTCTCACCTGTTGGCAATGACGGCAGCCCGGAAGGAAATACGAGAATCAGATATAGTCAATTCAATGAGAGACACCCGTACCTTTGCCCTCGTACCACCAGTACATGCCCAATGGCCCCATCGTCGGTATCGAGTTGCAGTAAAGTGAGGGAGAGAGGAGGGAGGGAATAATCAATTCGGACTCCGAGTTAAAGTCCAACATGACGTTGACATGTTCCGGACATGCCCGGGCGGAGTTTGAAAGAACTTAGAAGATTTTTTGTTGCTCTTCCGCCATTCCCTGCCATTCCATGCACCATCTGCAAGTGGCTGCACTGCTGCAACGCTGCAACATCACCGTGACGGATGTGCATGGGCTTCAATATTGCAATATCTAACTTCAATCCGTATACATACCAACTGCAAGGTCATTCGAAGACCGCCCCAATCGATAAGATCAGAAAGCCGCAGAAGAACCGGTTTGCCAAGACCAAGACTCGATCACCCAAGAAAAAGAGGCAGAAAGAGGGCTAGAAAAAGACCAAGCCCGGAAAGACTAATTCTGGGTTTTGCTGATGCGGGACCAGTCAGTTTCGTTGTCCCATCCCCTTGCTAACGAGATAGCCCGTTCTCTCGTGCGCCTTGGCTTTGTCTCCCCACAGAGATCTTCTCTCCCTGCTCAGACATCCCAATCCACCCCCGGGGGCACAGGATCTCCATTCCATCTCATCTCATTTACATGTGCTCCCAACGTTGTCTCGTACTGCATGACAACTAGTACTACTGCCATATGGCAGGATGCACGTCTTGGTGACTAGTGCGAATCATGCTGCTATATGCCAACCTGACTCCTCCAACATCACAGATCGGGGGGATAATGACTGCAGGTTAGGACCTTAAAAATTAGCCAACATGAAGGGATGGGACAGAAGATGTAAGTGCAACTGGGTGTATGCTCTATTCCCTGGACGGCATCTGCAGTGAGATTGGCCATCAAGATTAACGTCCACCTTGGGCTCGCTCATCTCCATCTTCATCTCCTGTTCGATCAGACAAAGCTTCGTATCCAGTGGCGCCAACGGCAACCCCTCGTTCATCGAAACCAGTCACCGCCAACAGCAGTCCTTCCAGAACCACTGTGTTTATACCCCCAGGTGGACGATAAAATCTCGCTGGTGGCGTTGTTAAATCGTCAAACTGAGCTGTCCGATTCGCACTCGTGGGAAATCTGACTTAACAGATAGGGGAATCGCAAGGTATCTACGTACGTTCGTTTTGTCTGTTCCATCACTTTCACTCACAGTCGTCCGATAGTGTATTCATGGTCCATTGTCCAATTTCGTCTTGCTGGGAATGCTCAACGTCAACCTGACCAAGAGTACGAAGCGGATAGTCCCGGGCCCAAGGAGGTTTTCAGAAGTAAAGAACTGCTACGGACCTACCACAGCCTCCACGTCAGCGATCATCCGGGACCAGCAGCTTTGGCTTTAATCTCCCTGCTTATGATATTCATCACATCTTGATCCATCTCATCGATCTCCCTGCGCTAATGTTGTCAATGTCAACTTGCTTCGATCTGCTACGGCCCGAGCATACTATCTTTCCGCAGCACCAATGTCTCGTCATGGAGTTCAGCCAAAATAGTGTTCTATTCCCTCTATCGAGGCCATCCAACGCTACGAGCTTATAACACCCAATTCACGGGTCATTGCGAGTGCGTCTTTGATTCATTCTGCGAATCTAACTTGTCCCTAATGTCTCGTTCATTAGGACGGTTTCCCGGGAATGTGAACTGAGGAGGGAGGTGTTATGTGGTATCGGAGCTCGTCAAAGCATACCCTTCGTGTGTCCTGTCCCGTTCGTCTTTCTCTCCCATGTTTGACTTGATGCACCTCCTATAGATACTCGACACTGGTACAAGGATCTCCATGAAGAAGTCTCTTTGCAGCGCATGCTCTGGAACCCTGCTTAATAAACTTTCAGACCATGTGCAATCACTGCACAGATGCGATTCCTCTTTCCGCGCCCTCTGTTTCGAGTCGTCGTACGACTAGACATCAATTCGAAGAATGTACTTGCATTGCATTCTATAGCTCGATGCTGTTCGGAGTGAATATGGGCATAATGAGTGCTTTCAATTTGTGAGGGTTCGTCTTCGTTCTTCATATTCGAGTGAGCGCCATGTTCACAGGTATCTGCTTGGCTCTCTAGAAGGCGGATATGGACGCTTGCATAATTTTAGGTATCCAACTTTGATGGTCGCTTGACGTACGCCGTTGTACACTGCATCTGAGAAGGCTCACCGTGGATCTATTAGGACGTTTCTTTACTTTGGAAATTATGGTCGGCTTTGTTATCCCGTCCTCTTACCGCGTCTAACGAGATACCATTCACAGATTCCCATCGTCTCGGGTGCCCTCGCGGTGGTACCAAGAAATTGCTCGCATTTTTTTGGCTATGCATGCTTGAAGAATACAATACCTATTTCCAGCTAGTAAACACGAAAGTTCTGTTGGAGCCCTGACCACAGATGGCACCAAACAATGCAGTCGAGATCAATGGACAGAACTCGTTGACAGTCAGATTCGCCTTCTCTGAAAGATATTGGCGGAGGAAATCAACAGGCGAATTTCAAAGGTGGGTGATACGTAGTATCTACGCAACTCCCGTTTGACACCGTCGTTTAGGTTCCCTTTGGTACTGAATGGCAAAAATGACTTGGCAGAGTGTCAGAATGGGAGGTAGTACCGTGGGTGATGAAGCTTTGAGGAGTTTGGGTTAGAAGATGTCTGTAAGACTCTTTCATCAAACGTGTTCCAAGTATCTGCCAACTTCTGTTCTGTTGCAATGACCCCATCGTATGAAGGGAAGGTCCTAAACATCTTCACTTTACATTAATAATCCTCTTTGGCCTGTCTTCTTACTATAGCGCGCGCGGAATCAAGAACTTCGTGACGTTGACTTCCAAGTCCTTGTGTTTACGTTGTCAGGTCTTATCCTCGTCAACATTTTGTGGAGCTGGAGCGGGTTGTTCCCTTCTTCGTGTCAGCTACCATTCATCGGGATCAAGCCAACTTGTCCTTGGAGGAATAGCACTATCTGAACTGGTCGTTCGCTCTCAATAAGAACGATGTTCTCGTGCGACCATCCAGATCAACCTCGCTTTGCTGGGTGAAGAAAATGGCGGGATCATGGCATGGGGCATCTTGCATGTGGTTTAAAATGGCAGGACCAAGGAGCATAGCGTTGTCGGCGGAGACAATGACCGATCGATGGCATTTTGGACTTCTGAGTATGTTGTTTATCGTTTTTTCATGGGTATCTGATCAATATTTCTATCATTAGCACTGTCAAACTTTACGCCCGACTTCACCAGAGCCCATTTTCGCTGCATCCTCGCAGCCCTCTCCAAAGTTCCTTATCTGCTAGTTCAGAAAGCAATATCCCCACCGCCTGCAGTTCGGATCCATGAATCCATGAAGCAGGAGTCAGATGTACAGATTGACGGGTCTCTCCCGTCTCTACTGACTCGTTCAAGCTATCTTCCTACCTATGACTCTGAGGAAGGTGTGCGAACGTGTTTTACCGCCCTTTCATGATGCGATGGGCCTTCCAAGAACGACGAACGGCGAAAGACTCTGCAGATGGTTAGGGAAGATGGCAAGATGCGAAAGCAAACGATTCAAACCTTCTCCCACCCTCCCACACCACACGTAGTGGAAGCTCCGAGCAGCTCACTGCGGAGAAATCGATCTGCGCTACATTGAGGCTGCTGCAGCGCAGGTCTGGATGGCGAAACAGAATTATGGAGTAAGTACATGTATTCTCCAGCCTTATTCCCGTCTGATCAAATTCTTTTCCAGTCCTTCGTGCATTTTCAGAAGCATCTCGTCTTCTGGCTACATCACAATTAAACCAGTAAGTGTTCTTTGTGCTACTTCCTGTTTCAAGTTGATTTCTGAGATGCCGCTCAGTACTTTGACCTTGGTACCGAAATCCCGGATATGATTTCACCAAATATTTCTTCTTGATGTACGGAGTCAGACCTTGATCACATGATCAGGTTTTAATTCTGAATTTCATTCAAATTTCAGTGCGCTGGGGGGCCACATAGCTAACATTGGATAATTTGCATGTACCTCCGAAGATATATTTTAGTATTTTATAAATACTCAAACCCTCCTTCTGAGTAAACCGTACCTCTGAATTAAAATTTAAAGTCGAACAGACTTGCTCGATTTGATGTTCTAAATTTGGCTATCATGGGTAACCACACGATCAGGAACTTTCAGAGTTCTATAAGTCAGGCAAAGTCTTGCTGCAGCGTAGTGGAGAGACGCACCTATTGAAGAAACACCACATGCAGATACTCATATTCAAGAGGGCCGTCTACTGGTACCATGTATCGAATATACCAAGGCAAAGCCGCAGGTCAACCTAAGCCACTTTTCAGGAATATGGCAAGCAGGAGGATATGACCAGCAGAATGGTTTACATGGCAGACCGTCTTCCGCTAAGAAAGCAGAAGGATCAGAAAGCCCTTTCCAATCCAATCTATGTCACAAGACAAAGCATTTAAAAAGCAATAGAGGTCATGCAGGCACGTTCGAGCTGCGGTACTCCTCTGGGCGTCGGTGTTTGTGGTTTTGGCTAGAGATGATGCAATAGAGGGTCCGAGATTCATGGAGCTCGAGAGAACGGTGCCGCAGTTGGGGCAGATTTGCCGCGGCATGGCGTATTTCGGCTCACTCCGATCCGACCTCCCTGCCGTTTGCGCTCTCATCGATAATACGGGAAATTTTCTGAATTCTGAGTATCACAGCAGAGGCCGATTCATTTTAGATCGTAAAAAACAAAACCTTAAAAGGTTTTGTTTTAGCGAAGCCTTTATCAGTCCCGAAAAGGCCGTCTGTAAAACGGTATGAAAAATATTTCCCCCTATAGAACAAAGGAATTGAGATAACGTTTCATTTTACAGTACTCAAAACGAGGGCGTAAAAACTGAAGCCGAAATCGAAACCTTTTAGAATCCCGTTTTACACCATCAAAAACACACCAGCCACTGCAGTGTATGGAGTTCGTCAAGACATTCTGAAGATAGCATCAATCCACTTCATCATCCCTAATCATCCTACTCTGATTTTTTTAATTCAGTTTCATCGACCAGAGCCTCATCATGCATGAGATTGACTGAAACATACAACTGTCGACCAGTTTGAATTGTCAAAAACAACACAGGACTCGGACCTGTGCGGATACGTTGGCTTTAGTAACAGACCTACGATCTGTAGTAGAACAAGAGATAATCTGCTAAAATAAATAATCTGTGCTCAAAACACAATACACCCCATCGGGGTGAAATTTTCCCAATCGATGTCCAAGGAAACCTAAATGAACGGGAGTTCAATGTAATTGTGAGGCCACTATTACCGCAAATCCTTCTAAAAGCCCATCGTGTGAATGCTAGTCACCACAATAGTAGAGTCGAGAAATACGCGGAAAGATGATCTAAGCGCGAGTTAGCGACACGTCATGGTCGATGAAAGGTACGTTGTCGTCGTCATCATCGACAGTCACGATCATCCCAATCGCGCGCTACGAAGTTTTCATCGGGCCAATCGGGCAACCCCTGCAGGAAACGCCGAAGATCTGTTAGTGATGAACGTCCTCCCAAAAACTGGCAGATCATTAGTTCAATCAAAATCAATGGAAGGAAATATAACATACCGAAGTTCGAAAAGCCTCCATGAACCGTTTCGCATGCGACACATTGGTCAGTGGTGAAGCGTCGGACTGAGCTATGAGGGCCAGCAGCCCTACCATGTCTCTCACAGCCCAAATCAGCTTGAATGCGTCCATATTCATGGTGTCAACCCGGGAGACAATGTTGCTCGCATACGAACTTGCATTGCTTGCTAGGCGAAATTGAGCTGCGACGTGACTATTTGCGTTTGAAGACACGTACTTATCATCGCCAGCAAAGGGCAGAATGGAAGAACAAGATACATCAAGTTAATGATTTTAGAATCAGAAGCTATACCGAAAAGGGACCAGACGAATCCCGAAAGTGCGCACACAAGAGCCAGTGTCAACAAGCCCCGGAAGAGATGGTCGACAAATCTAGCGTGATTCTTGAAGTTGAGATTCTAAAGGAATGAGAAAAGATGAGCGTCGCATGATTGAAGTAAAGACGGTTCGGCTGATCCGGTGCTGTCTAATGACCACCTTTTGCAATGACCGCATCTTGTGCTCCAAGATGGGCCCTGAAATTTTGCATCGATAACGAAGATCGGCACTGAATGTTACACTGTCCGAGTCGCAGGCCTGGATTTCCTGAAAAATATCATTGATGAGCATAGGGCAGACGCTTTGAAGGTACCCTTGGCATTCAAGGATCTCGTAAATGGCATGAAGTGTTTTTGTTCGAGTATGCGCCTTGATGATACTGCATCCGAGTCAGGTAAAGAAAAGAGACATACTCCCGCACTCACAATTTGAAGGGGAGGTACTCGTCTTCGGGACGGGACTGCATGAGGAGATTACACAACTCCCTAGACGTCTTATCCAGCTCTCTGAAAGCATGATACGAAGGAGGAACTGCGCGGTGAAGGACTGCCCATAGGCTATAGATCCACTCTGTGCCGGCTATGATATCGTTCTCAACAGGTAATTGATAAAAGTCTGCCCAGTGGGGAGGTGTACCAAAAGGAGCATTCTGGAGATTTTTGGGAAGAGAATGTTTTGAGCTTTCTGGCTTGGCGACGTCGAGAGTCATAGCAAACGAGGTCGAATTGGAAAATACGGAAACAGAGGTGATCAGCTTGAAGATGTTCGGCGCATGTACTGAGCTATCATACGCAAATCAGACTCTCAAGAACAACATGCAGCGACCACCAAGTATCTCGTTCTAGAATCGCGCTGCACTCTCCTGAACCAAATTGATAGTGAAAATGCCTATGTGCTTCTCTTGTGTTGTAGCACCTCGGATAGAAAGTCCCCAATTGCCGCTGGTTGACGCGGCTCGACGGCCAGTGATAGGTATTAAGTTGAAGAGAATCACGTGCGAGCTGGCGACTATTTCAGTGTTCCGACTGGCATTAACTTAGCCTACTTAGCAAACGTGCTTTTCCTCTTGCCAATAGCCACTGTTAAGTCTCAAGATACCTCACCGGCGCAAGACTAGCACTGTGCCATCTCCGAAGGCCCTTTCCCTGATCCTCAAGACAGTTTTGGCCCAGGATGGGACGGCCTTTGCATAGCTCAACCTCGACCCCGAACCAGCAACCTTGTATTCAAGTTGCGCTTGGTGTCCGCGACTTTGTACATTCAAGTTGATGAGCTTGCCATTGTAGTAGACGTAACTTGAAGCCAACTTGGAGGCCCATTACTTGTATCTCGTTTTCTAACCAAGTTCGACGCCCGCTCCATGGACGGACGATGAAGATAAGGCTAGTACAACTTCGTTCATTTGTGGACCCGTTTCACGTCGTCTCGGGCGTCTGGAGTGTTGCGAGATGCCATTATCAGCGCGACGGAACCGGATTTTCTCAGTCAAAGAACTGTTAGCTTTAGTATGTTTCCCCTCTTTTCTCATGTCGTTTCTCAGGTATCATCAGCTGCAAATATGGGCAAACTCTTCCGTAAATTGATGGCAGTCGGAGCATCTACAGAAAGCGAGGACTACGCTGCATAGGCTCTGGCTACTACGCTGTTTCCGCATGAACTTTCCAATATGCTGGAGGGGGTGGAGAAACTAATTTCCCGGTACTTCGCTTGCTTTACGACGACGAATATCTCCCGTTTCCCGATGTTTCTTTCTTCGTTGCCCGATTCTTACGGTGACATCCTGCATCACTAACCAGCTTTGGGACCTGAAGACTCGGTCTTTGGCAGATATCTTGACGCAGGTGGAGGTACTTATTGCCTCCACCTATACAGTTATGTACATTGTCAATTTTATCTGTCGACGTCGTCAACACTCACGCCGTTGGTTACCGAATGCCCTTCCCCGCCTAGCATATGCAAATCTGCGTAAACGCTCCGGAACAACGCTTTCAAATCTGACCCTACATTCTTTTGGCGGGACCCAACATTTGGCTCCAGTGGCGGCGACAAGACATTGGCTAGTGACTGACCGGGCCCTCCTCTACCTTGTAAAAGTCGTACAAAGAGAAATTTTCTGAAACCGGCCACGGCCGATCTCCAACCTCCAATCGTGCGCCTCCACATAGCCCAAGGTTCTGCATCCGATGTCCTTCACACCGGATAGATAGGCGGACCTGATTCGAAATGCAGGTAACTTCCGCGAAACTGAGTTGTAGTTGTTGTAGTTCTAAGTCGCCTCTTTCTTATTGGGACGAGAAGAAGATTATCTGGTGTGCTTTTCTTACGACGGTTATCTTTACTAGCTGATCCAGTTACTCAGGACAAACATACTATACTACTTTTGTCCCTTCGACTCTCCGGGCGAAAGGTACTACAGTTAAACAGCCACAAACGCAAGTCGCTCCAGCCGGAAGCTTCTTGTCGGCCTCCTGGACGTGAGGAGGCCTCTCCGTTCACGGTCTTCTGGTGTTGCCAAGTGCTTGAGGTGCCATAAATACATAACGACGGTAACAGTGACTAGGCCTCTCTCAGATATCACTTGGAAACGGATATTCTGGAACGTTAACAGATCAGATCTCTTGTGTTTGGAACACACCACGGTAAGTGGTCGATTTTCAATTGCAACAATGGTGCTCATCGAGAAATACATAGGGTTTGGACGCGCTCTACTGTCAGTCGATCTTAGCGGTCACATGTGTTTCATGCCATTATCATGCCCAATAATCGTACTGTTTCCCTAATTCGATACATAGGATTTCAGACGGCTGAGAAACTTCAGATATTTCAAAGGTACATATCGGTGCAGAAGATCAATTTACAGTAAAACTTTAAACGGCCGATTCAAGGAATTCCTCAAGGACATGAAGGTATCTAGTATAAACCGATTAGTTTTTGTGATCCACGGCACCTTAAACGACTCTATACCTGTCTTTTTCCTCGTATAGCCCCAGGTGTGTACTGTTGGAAAGCTCAAGCCACTTGATTTTTGGGACCCTCAAGAACCACGGCATGACCGCGACATCCTGTACTTCATCATTGGGCGCACTGACAATCAGCGTGGGATAGGTGATCTTGTGAAGGATGTCGACGATGGACCAGGTCTTAAGAGTTCCGGTCACATTAAATTCCGACGGTCCCAGCCTTGAGAGCTTTCATTGAGCCTGAAGCGTCAATTGAAGGAGTGCTCACATTGTGTGGTAAACGGTAGGATTCTTTCCAAACGACTCAAACGACGCCATGACATCCTCAGGCCACGGATCCAGCGTACAGACGTGTTTCTTCATGAACACCATCATTCCGTCCCCATATTCCTTTGAGCTAGTCGTACCCTCTCGTTCATGCTTCCGCAACATGGAAACAAAATCCGCAGGGAACTTTTCCAAAAGGGCATTAGTCCCTACTTCGTAGAGTTCCATTGACGCCGGCGAGTTGAGAATCACCAAGCGGCGCAAGCCCTTGGGTGAACGAGTAGCTGCATATTGTCCGGCCAGCATTCCTAACTCGGGTGAGTTTTCGACACGGGCATGAGTTTCGATATCTGACACACCTCCCCATGATTGGCCGACTAGGTCGAAGCACTCAGAGATGCCTAAATGGTCGAGGAGGTTATCGAGCTCGTCCATGAAAAATTCTGGCGTCCAGAACTCCTTGGGGGCATCACGCAAATGTGTTGAGTGTCCGTTCCCAATCTGATCGTACGCCACGATAGGTATTCTGGAGCGTTGACTCAGCCACAGTGCAGTAGTGATTAGCACGAAGAATACGCACCCTGCAGATTCCGTTAAGGCCTTATGGACGCTGTAGATGTCGATGTTGTCAGATAGTACCAGGATATTCGGTCGGAGTGATTAAGCCTACAGCATACTGTTGTGGCCATATTTAATTTCAGCAATAACCGTCGAAGCGATACAAGAACTTACTATTCGTGTGTAAAACCAGGTCCTCCATGAAGAGTGACGAGAGGCGGCTTGCCAGATTCCAGGTCGCCGATAACTTTGTACCACGTCTGGTAGGTTTCATTGCCTACTTTGAAAGCTGCTGTGCCAGTAGTTTCGAGGAGCATAATGGACAATGGATGGAGTTATCCTGGTCAGTGAAGGGTATCACAATAGCGTTCCCGGATCCCGATATTGGATATATATAAGGGATGTGAGCATTTACCACTAAGGCAAGTCGTTACTAAGAATAGAACAACTTTGGATCTTTTGTGTGAAGTTGCGCATATTGTGTGGATCTTGTTCCCGTGATGAACCGGCGTAGTGGAATATCATTGAAATCAAGAGGAACAGAAGACCAAAGGCGATACGGACAACACAGCTTATGGCGGCCAGTCACAAGTGTGATATCACAACTTTACGAACAGAAGATACTCTGCGCGCTCTGTCAGTATTCACATGCAAGGCGAAGCAGCGGTGATTTCTAATATCGTACGTGGTCACCAGGAAACCCCTTGCGCATTCATGTGTCTATTTAGTATTGTATATGCAAGTACCGGCTAGTAGCCTATCCCTAGGGCGCCTTTGCGGTAACTACACATTCTATAGACATGGCAAAAACGGCTGTTGTGAACTGTGAATAGTTCGGGTTGCAGACTTGGATGAGCCACATGAGACCGAGCGCTAGATCTATATATAAGTCCAAGTTCGGTGATGAAGGGGAATCAACGTACTGAAAGATGCGAGATAAGCCAGAACAGGGAGAAGCCTGAGTGCATTCCATATTCAAATCTCGGGTAGTTTACCAGTAGGTTCCACATCGGCGCCTCCGCCGGCTCGGACTGTCATAAAGCTCAACAATCAATAAAACGATACAACAATTACACGTACAGATGCGGGGCACAATTCGCTGAGATGGCATAGACTTCAAAGCAGAAGTTTTAGAGGCATCTTTTGATACAGCTCAAAAGTTAGGTGTCAGAATAGAGATGTACATGAACATACCATGAAGTACAAGTGCCATCGATGTGATAGGCGCAGCAAAAATTATCATAGTCCACAGGAGCTTATAGTAGGGAAGTAAAGTCATTCTTGAGTAGGTATAGTCACTAGTGTGATTTGAATGCACTTGCACTCCAGCTGCTAGGCTGTTAGTCACTAGGTAGACAAAGCTTCCTCTGCCTGTGCTGTGTATTTATACTGTTTTCTACTTAATCTACTTTCTCCCCATTTACTAAGCATGCTGAGACATGCTGATAGTATCACCCAAATGTCACAACAGTCACCGTTTAGGACTAGTCGAAGTTCACCTTGATATATACAAATCACATTGAATTGGCCTAGTAAACATAGCCACAGTGGTCCACTGATCCTTGGTTTAAAATTGTTGTATTGTATGTACTTGTATGAATGAAACCGGAAACCCATTACGCGTTACACTTATGGTTTTAGGAAACGATGCCTGCCTGACCAACGAAACGACCCCAGCGTTACGCGTCCATCAAGTACGTACAGTTCGGGTTGAGCTCTCGGGTAATGTACTAGTAGCCGGAAATGTGATGCTCACGTCACGCGTTGGCGGGCAGCCTGCGACGCGCGTCTTGGCTCGCCACAGTATGTACACCAGATTATTTGTCCCATCGATCTGGTTCTGATCTGATTTGATCATAATCAATAAATTTAAACCGTCTCATCATACATGGTATGCCACCACTTTTCAATGAGTTCTTCGGCCAGGCTTTCAAGATCACTTTAGGTACTCGGTGCTATGGGCTTTTGCCATTCAGCGATTGAATTAAGGCCGAGTCTGGCTTAGTGACTCAAGGAAGCGGTCGCTGCAATGAATTGCAAGTTGTTTCAGTAATCTTTGCGGGTTATGGCCTATTCAGGCTGTTAGTGGCACTGATCATCACGGTCTTCGCTGAATTTCCGAGCAGCACCTGTATAATAAATATATATTCCTACATCCTCTCGAATATGGTCAACTAACAGGAGCCTTGATATCCTCAGTCTGTTTCTTGATATGAACGTGTGTTGTCCTTCTACCTCACTGCTGCGCCGCTTACACTCATTCCTGCATAGACTACACTCAAGGAATCAGCCCAAGTCTTCCCACTCCTTCTCATTCTTGCCATCATAGTTATTTCACTGGATGGTTTATCAAATTTCAATGTTATTGATCTTTCCCGGCTGAATTTTGTCTCGTATCATGGCAAGTCTTCGTCTCTATATGCCTCTGCATTTCCTCCAGCTAACTGCCAATACGTTAGACATGCCAAAACCCGCCGCCCATGGCAAGGAAGCTTACAGCCTCGAGCCTTCCTCCGATCATGTGGCGCTACGGTTTGATGACCACAACTATGATATTACATCTGACCATGATTGGGAGTCGATTTTTCCTTCCAACGGCAATGACTACCATGTCTCGATGTATCGACAACTCGCCTGTCTTGACACGATACGCAGGGCACACTTGATTTTATATGCGCGACAGTCAAACACTTCGGAGACACCTTTGCTTCTGAAGGAGGCGCAGTGGTGTTTCGGTTATTTGAGGCAGATTATCCTTTGTAATGCAGATACGACATTGGAACCCAGTGTTCGGGTGTATGATCTAGATGATGTATTTCTACAGGATGCAACCGGCCTTGGAGAATACCATAGGTGCTATGATTGGACAAGAATTCGCCATATAGAAATCGCGCTGTCCAATAGTCTTGGTACGGTTTAGAACTTTCCGTCAGGGTTTCACAGAGGGCTAACATAAATATTATGCATTGTTCAGACACCGGCACTTAGAGTAGAAGTCGGATAATGGCAGCGTAACTCTGGTACTTAGTACGACTATGGATACGCAATATTGTAAATGGTAGAACTCGAGGCGACATGAAAATCCGACGCTATATACATCACTTGAACCTATTAATCTACTTTTGCATTTGGCAGGCTGTTATCTCAACAATTACTGGTATGCACTTTATAGCGAGCGACAGTCTCAAACTGTGTTTATATCTCTTCAAAGTACTGTCGTTAGCATGTAGAGCATTGTACAGCGAGTGTAATCGTACTTAGTCATGCATCAAACAATCCAATGAAAGGATCTGGTCGATGGAGCTCGGATATATCCCTGTGCTGGCAACCTTGAAGGAGATTGGACGCTTTCCAGCAGCATGCAATGATGAAGATGCTCAATAAGGCATCTAGCACGAGGAGAGCGAAGAGAAGAGCAAGACGCTTGGGCTCGTAGGTGGGTGTATTTTGTCCAGTTGACCCTCCTTCATCGGCAGAACCCAGGAGTGTGTATTGTGCTTGCGGTGGGGACATGTGAAGGTGTTGCTACGTTGTCGAGGCTGCGCGCGCTGTTAATATCGCAAAACTTGCACCTTCCATCGAGTTGGTTCATCAACCATAGATATTTTTGTCTCAAACCAGATACAGGAAAAGGACTTAATATGAACATCGAGATGAAGTGTATATAGGACTCTATCTTGGCATCCGTGGGCGCCTGAACAAGGGATCAGAACGTCAGTGAAAACTCCATTAGAAGTCGAGCGTGGACCTCACAATCCGCAACAAGTATCAGTCCGGCTCCTCCCAAGCATGAGTCAGAGGAACATCTTCCCACTCAGCGTAATTTTGCTCCACAAAGCTTCTAACTTCTGTCCAGTCCCAGCACCGGGATTGAGTAGTGGCCGAGGAGTTGATAGGTATCACGGAAATATCTGCCCGACAGAGCAGACCCTGTCGTATGTATTTCAGACAGTGATTGTCATGATACATGTCTCGGTCTTCGGGATGAGCGACTAGGCCAAGTCGTGCGATGACGTGCGCATATCTGAGAGCGTTCAAGCAATGAAGCTGATGGTACATCGACAGGGCGAAGGGTTTGCCCTTTGGACCAAGCCGAACATATCCCTCTTTTGGAGGTAACATGGATTTCCAGGCATCATTATCGTTCAGGGGATAATGGATGTCCGTGTCCTTTATCTCCATGGTCGCTACGTTATATGTTCCGGGGAGCTCTTGAGGCATGCTTCCCCCAACAAATGCTAAAGATACGTCAATCACTGAGGAGAAACGATAGTCTTGCATCACTTGCCGAAGTGAGGATATTCTGCTGCTAAGAACTTAGATATCGCATGATAAAACTTCATCACGGCAATAGCTTTGATAGCAACGCTTGCAAAAAGGAGAAGAATGACAAGAGTCAGGCGGCTTTTCTTCTGCATGATGCCGAGGACACTAGAAGGGGGGATTACTTCAAGGGGCGAGATACCTGAACTATGCTTTTGTACCCACTTCGACGAGAAGTCTTCTTTTTCAGCACAGGATGTTGGTCTATTGCAACTGATATGATGACTGCGGCTTGGGAAACTGGGACCGCTCGATTGATTGATGGAATATAAGCCATAGCATAAGATGTTCGCAATCTGTTCAGGAGTGGCATGATAAAAATATGATGATCCTTTATCAACCTACTGACTCTTTTCACGATTGTGCAGATTGTTCCCCAGACATCGACAACCTTAGTTTGTATCATATACGGAGCATGGGCTGGCCCTGTTGTGAGGAGACTCGATATCGACAATTCGGACACGGTATCAAGATGTATTCACACCAGTAGACATGCAACAAGCAGGAAGTTATTCCAGACACGAACATGCTCGTAAATCTAGAGGTACGTGAGCACCTAAAGAGAATAGACAATCAGAAAACGCAGAGCAGCACCCGGTAACGGGGAAAGGACGGACCATCCAGCCTTCTAATTCGAGGGGCCAGTTGCAAAGATATTATCATAGCCGCCAATAAAGATAAAGAAGTTTAGCGGGCGTTGCGATGCTATTCTCAAAGACCATATTATCTAAAATGGGATATTCTGTCAGCACGGCAAGACGCCATTTTGGCTCTGAATGTGGGCTGCATATTTGCGGACGTACTGTTTGCCGCGAACGCGGGTGTAACCTACGGGAAATGGTTATAAATACAAGCCGAAGTTAAATATAAGAGTAAAATAGAGCAACTCACCCTTGTACGGATATTGGTTTCATGGCTGGCGAAGGGCCAATGATAGTATTATTCATTAGACACACCGGATACCCTTGGTTTGATAAAAAGTAGTCCATAACATCACTGATTTTCAATCTTATTCGATAGCAGAATTAGCTGAAACGCAGGAGGGTTCGCATGGACACAAATCAGCTAGGCCAACATAGCATCATCCTTTTGCGAAACGCATTCAAGAAAAGAGGATTCTCGAAGTAGATTTCTTTAGGACTAGAGCCAAACCTCCAAATGTCCAGCTCGAATGGAGATAAGACTCGCCGAACATTTCGGGGGCATGATGTCGCGAGTTAGGAAAGATGTCGAGAAAACTGCTGTAGCTGGCCATCCAGTGATCTGGAGGATACTTCTGAGTTGTCTCGAGGTCGATGAGCCTGAAGTAAACGCGGAGAGGATACAATGGTTGACGCGAATGGATTTGGGATACAACTGGGTAAAAAATATGATACATGAGAAGCGAGATGGGCCTATGCTAGCCAAACAGTCTTAGTGGTATCACTCCGCATTAATGGATGAAGGCGGGAAGAACAACGGTCCGCCTAAATGCCTTGTATCGCGAAGTCACGCCAATCTTTCGTACGACTGATGCGCATGAACAGTTCTGTTCCGAGAACCAGACGACGAAAGGAAACTTGAAGCGGAATGTGGAACAAACTCACGTTGTGCAGGGTTACATTTGCCTGAACATACCAAGGCAGTCGTCACGCTCCTTGTTATTCGTCACGTACGAGCGTCGGGCAGGACCAGTGAACAAGTAGCCGTCCTGTCCGTGTTACGATCCCGCTCTCAAAAGACCTTACTCCGCCCAAATCTTCTTCCCTTTCGTGTATCCTCGAAGCTGGAATATTCAGGTTCGTAGGCTGCCGGAGGAATCAGAATATGGGCCAGTAGACACGGCAGATTGAGAGAGGGAGTCATTGCAACTGTAGACCAAGTTGGTTGACCGAACCGGCGTTTCCGTCCGATGGTTTAGTTGCCAGCCGGCTACTAAAGTCATACTTGGCTTCGTTCTCTTTCGTTCTGCGCTCCCGCTGCACTGGTCACTGCACATAATGCTTCAAGCTGCACTAGCACCTCGTCACGGTATCGAAAGCCAACTAACGCTAGTGTAATTCCTCGCACAAGCGTGACATCACCACACGATTAAGGTTGTCATTCGCTCTCGCCGAGATGTCCTCGACTCCGAACCGGCGCTGTACAATCCCTTGGCGCAAGAACGGTATGGAATTTCCAGGAGGCGTTGAGGATAAGGATTCTTCTTCTTCCACCATATACATCATCGATTCTCACGGGTGCGGTTTTCTGACCCCTCTCACGTGAATGGCCTCTGAGTCTGAGTGAGTCTGGCGATGCCGCTTATCGCAGTGAATGATCATTTCTTGTTAGTCTAGATACGGGAACTTCACAACTGTTCTCTTGTAGCTATAGGTGTATTAACTTGAACCGCTTCCCTTTGTGACCCCCGTTGGTCCAGGGTGTGTATGTCCAGGACCTTGGCTCTAGGGTGCTCGTCACGACGATATTGTCACTTGGGACCTCTTTGTCATCCAGTAGATCCCTATACCCCCTCCTCGCATCATTCTCGAGCAAGACCATGGTGGACTCTACATACTCGACATCGAACACTTCAGCATCATTTTTGTATGTATTTCTTCACTCGGAATCTGCTGTCCAACTTTTATTTACTATATTTCTTTTTATTCTAGAGTCTGTTTCAACGACTCTGTATCTTGGCTGGTTAAAATGAAGTGTTACTTCTGTTATTTGTGCAAATAACGGTCCTTCTTTCGCGCTGCTTTAGCTTCACTTTGGACCGTACGAAAAGGTCTAGGTTGTGACGCAATCCCTTGTCTCCGCCGTCTCGTGCTGGCTACAGCGACAGGGAGAGTCGAACTTGTGACACCCCGGTTTAAGCTGCCCATAGGCTCACAACATTTTACGTTTATCGATCGCACCCATTCGTGACTCCATGGACGGTACAGAGATTGATGGCCTGATAGAAAGGGCGGTACATTCAGCTACCCGTGCACTAAACTGAATGTCTTCCTGGCGGAGGATCGTAACGCAAACCTAATTCTTGGTTCAGAAACGAATGTAGCCATTCTCATCTTCTCTGTCATGATTCAGCACTGCTCCTTCCGGAGAAAAACAGGCTCAAGATCCACCTTCCGACGAGGTTTCGAGCGTGCTACTTAGTCGGCGGTGATCCATCTATTATTCCGAAAGCTTTGACTTCTCCCGCTACTATTTATATTGTTGAATACTTTGCTGACACTTTGATGATGGATCTGGCTCAGTCAACATAACCCGTCTGATGACTGTGCTCTCGAAGGTGGAGGCTGGTTAATTATAAATTACTATGCGTTTATAGAGTGAATCTTTAAACGTGTATCTAGGTGTGTCTTGGTTTCTTTGATATTACTGACCTTACGTTCACCTGTCTCTTTTTCCGCCAGTAGGCCAGAGACCCGAGTCTCTATTCTCTTCCATACTGAATGATAGAATACTGATTCAAGGAACTACTATCACCGACGTCTTCGATATATATATAGCGCTTTGACTTATAAACCTAGTGAATCGGGGTACAAAGCGTTCATCTGGGTTAGGATCCAGAACAGATGTTGTTTACGATACTTTGCCCTATGAAAGCCAATGAATCTGCAATGGCTGCAGTTCGACTGTCGTTAGGAATAGGACAAGTAAGCCAGAAGGTGTGCATATCGCGTGGATCTTGTTCTCATGATGAACTGGCGTAGTGGAATTTAAACGTCATTGAAATCAAGGGGAACAAAGCACCATGATTTGGATGATACAGTTGAGTGGGCGGTCACCAGTGATATCACAACTTTGCAGAAGCTATTCAGCGAGCTTTGTCAGTGTTCACATGTGCACATGGCAAGAAGGCGAACTGGTTTTTTAATAGCGTACGTAGGCGCTAGGAGCTCAAGTTATCGCAATTGTGTGTCTAAAATAAAATATATAGGTACCGGCTAGCCTATCCCACTGCACCGTTACAATATATAGTCATTGAATTACTGAATTACCATTGTATGTACAGCCCTATGTGCTTACACAAAGGTCTCTAGACAGCGGAGAGGAACTGTACTAAACTAGAGGATCAAAATAGCCTCAAATTTTCAACGAAATTGAGCGATAGTGTTCTTTAGCCAATCGTGATACTGTTTCCCAAAGAAGAGCGGCCTCCTCAGGATACATCGGCGAACGGCGTGAGGAATAATGCATGATGTTCGATAACTTGCTATCACCCTTCAAGCTTCACTGGCAGGCGTCCGACTCCTTGAAGTATATTGTACTGGCGATTTATCCTATACTGGGTGCTGCGTTACCGTACCTCGTCTTTAAACAAAGGGACCGGTCAATACAGCAATTCGAACATCTGCTGCGAACAGTTCCCTAAGGCGACGGTCGGAACTTGAGGTGGCGTTGGGGTTCTGTTCCACAATCAGTCCAAGCTTCTCAAGCACCGCGCGCAATGGAAGATCATTACCGATAAGACACATAAACTGGTGAAAAGAGCCAGATATTAAGCACGGCCGTGAAGCTAAGTCCAATTAACGAATGGCATTAATAATAAATATCGGGCACCATTTCAGGTATTACGGCGCTTCGGTGTTCGATTCAAACTCATCAGACCGGGGTAATCACATCGTGACACAGCATGTTTCTATGAATCAATCACTGCCGCCACTGGTGGCTACTTTTCGTGTACCAATCCAGTCCAGCTATCTTGTGTCCAGCGGGCCGAACGGGAGGATAATGATGGCCGTACATTTATTCAGCTTGGCAATCTTCAGTTGCTGCCCACCACCAAAGTCATGCTTCACATGTTTCCCATCGTGATACTTTCATGTATAAGTATGTCTGTGCAAGTATCTGTACCTTGAGATCTGCATCATGCTTTCTCTTAACCTCAGCTGGACTCCAAACGAGTCTCCTCGCGTCCTTCTCAGTGAACGATCCTGGTTCGCAGGGATCTTCATCACCGCAGTAGCTTACGGAGTGGCGCTCACACTTTCCGTGCAATGCCTCAGTTTGCTCATTCGTTCCATCAACCCTAGCAACTACAAGATTAAAATGTTTTGGATCTTCTATGTCTCTCTGCTATTCATCTGTGCTACGCTGTACGCGGCTGCTGGTGCTAAAATCAACGAATTCGCATTCATAGATTACCGTTTATATCCTGGCGGTCCCTGTAAGCTAATCCCATTCCCTCTATGTTCGACTACTTTCTGAATTTAATATTCCAGCAGCATTTGAGTATGACTATTTCTGGTTACCCGTGAACGCCATGGGTAATACGTTTTTCATTATCGCCAACTGGCTTTCGGACGCCGTTGTAGTATGTCTTTACAACCTCTCCGAATATCTATGCAAAAGTCTTACAGTACGAATTCGTTGTTAGGTATGGCGATGCGTCATCGTATACGCAGACTGTGGATATCCACAATGGGCGATATTGGTTCTCCCTGTTCTGGCTTATCTCGCATCTTTCAGTATGTTGATTCCCCTTCATCGCCGAACTTGGACTTTTATATAAGCCCTAGCGATCAGTCTCATGTGGCTCATTCAAGTCTGCAACCCGAACTATTCACCCTGGGTGTTCAAGAACGTTAATTTTACAACACCTTTCCTCTATGTATCTTTGGCCCTGAACATTGTCATGACACTAGCCATCGTGTTGCGCCTATTGATGTACCGATGGAGGATCTCGAGAATCATGGGGAAGAGATACGGAAGCCAATATACCAATGTGGTGACTATGCTCATAGAGTCTGCTGCGCTTTATTCCACATTCTCGATGCTGTGCATCATTCCTTTCTCTTTGAACCATCCGATTCAGAATGTATTCATCCAGGTCTTCTCAGAGGCACAGGCAAGTGCTTAATTGTGTTTCTCCCGTGTTGATTTCATCATCTTTGCTTCGCTCTCCAGATCGTTTCCACATTGATGATAATTTTCCGAGTTGCACGGGGCCAGGCTTGGTCTGCAGACACTGCCTCGACTATCTTTTCTTCGAGGTCCGAGGCTATTGAGATGCCCGGTCATTCGAAGAGGATTCAATTCGCTGATCCATACACATCGATCAATACGAACGAAGACAGCGATTCCGCTTTGAATAGACGCAAGGGTGATGTCGTTGAGAAGACCCTAGAAGTTGACCATAGGAATGATGATGATGCTTCAGAGAATGCATAGAATTGTGTGTCTAATTACCGCCATCTTTCTTCTCTTCCTCCCATGTCGTTGATATTATGGTATCTATCTTTCAGTATGCCCGTAGAGGACCTTCGGTCACACAGAATCCGTCTCGATGATAGAGTCGCAAAATAGCCAGAACTGCTTCCCGAGCACTGGTATGACACCAACGGTGTTCTATCGATGAGGTCCCATCGTCATACGCATCGTGATCTTTTATCGCATACACTCTGTCAGCAGAATTTGGCATGGTCTCGATCCGCGATCACGACTTCCATAGCTCGACATGTCCGTCAATCAACTAAACCAAAATTCATTCAGCGGAAATTTGACTGAATAGGGACGATAATACCGAAGCTTGGATGAACTCCAAGAATCTCCTGGCGCGTAACATATCAGACAACTGTGAATCTCTCGACTCGGCTATGAGGGTGAGCAATCTATCCGCATCCTGCCAAGCCCAGATAAACAAAAGGGCGCCAAAGCAGAGCATGTGAAGTTCATGAACATGTTGAAATAATCGTAGCGGGTATGGAAGCACACGAGGGATCAGGCTCAAGCCTAAGGATCGGCAACTTGAATAAAGACGGAACTTACCCTAGTATGCCAGAAAGCCCATGATGAGAGCGAAAGAAGCAGCCCAGAGTCCCTGAGAGGCAGAAAAGATAATCAAGATCAACAGCACCAAAAAGATAAGCGAAAGACGTAATGCCGCTGTGCACAAAGTGATAGGTGATACATTCATAAACGACAAGAACTTGAAGGATTGTCGGATTGAAGTCCTATACAAAGACGGATAAGCCAAATGAACAAATACGATGTTCCCACTAACGTTGTGATGTTGGCACTACGCTCTCCAGCCTCTGCATCTCGCGCTCAATTTTCAAACTGGACGCCTTGCACTGATTCCGAAGGCTGATACTGAAAACCATACTATCCGAGTCAATTTCTCGAGAGATGTCGACAATGACCGTAGCAAGTATTGCCGAGATCCCACCTGCATTCGAGGATAGTGTCGACAGTGAAGAGAATTCTCACGACATGTGGGCTGGTGAGGCTGCATAGACGTTACAAGAGGATAAAAAGAGTGGTTCCAAGTTTCTAGTTACATCACGGTGAGCGTGGCCGAACTATAGGAATACAGGATGGGGTCAATCAACTCGGTAGAGTCATTGCAGCGTGATACAGAAAGGCAGGTTTGCAATAGAGGGTTGTCCACAAAAAGTCGATTCAAAAAGTGTCGGATATGATATTGTTCTCGACTGTTAGCTGATAGAAGTCGGCCAAATGAGGTACCAAAGCCAAGGGTGCTACCCGCAACATCGGAGAGAAAGGAGAAGCTCTGGACTCGGATTCGTTAACAGAGACTTGGCGGAATCTTGGAGAAAGACAAGTTTCAATTTGTTAACGGTGGTGCAAAGTCTAGTCACGTGCCAAGTAGGGTTATTTTCATTTTCCATCACCGAAATCGCAAAAATAAAAGATAAAGGCTACAAGCATGAGTTGAGAGCAAATACTACTTAGCACTAGGCACTAGCTTCGAGCTGGTCATTGTGTACTACAAGAGTGGAACCGGCAAATTTACTACAGATATCGACGAGGACTAAGAAACACGGTCTTGTAGAGTTTCATCGTCAAAGGGCTCCCTAGCTAATCCTTCCTCTTCTCGATCTTCTTGGCGTAAATCATGTCGCATCGCGAAAAGAAACCCCCGCCTGAACTGAAGGTGAAGACCAGTGATCGGATCATCCAAGGCTGAAAATCGGCAAAGCCGCTATTTACTGTTGGACTAACGCGGGCATTCAATATCCCGAAAACACCAAATTTCGTTATCCCCAACATGTTATGAGGATCAGGTTCAAACCATTCGTCGAATTTGGAAGAGACCTTTGTGCGTACTGGAATCGCACATTCGGAAGATTCCTGTGTAGTGTCGAGCTGGTAACGACAACAAAGATGACGTAGAAAATGGATTCCACATCGTGACGATAAAGGTGTTTAGTAGGCGGTGGATCCTCGACATACTTCTTATCGAAGAGTTCATACGCCGTGTAAGGTCGAGTGCCGACACGCTGAAGCAAGGAAGTGGTGTCGTCTCGGAAGGAGGAGAAATCGAAATCGTTAAGGACCCCGCGTAGATAGCCATCGATGGTCCGGCGCCACATAATGTTGCCTTTGCTAATATCCCTGTGAATAATTCCCGGGTGATCATAGAGCCATTTGTGAATTTCAGCGGCAGTCAGAAATCACTCAGAAAAGAGGAATAATGTACGCACTGTGCAAAATGTCGAAGAAGACCTGAGCATACTCTTGAGGCGTCTGCAGTTCATCGAAGGAATACAGTCTCTCCTCGACAGCGATTCGACACACACGTCCCTCGTACTCAAATTTCTTGTCTGCAAACATGGTCTTTGCAAAGAAATCCGCCAGGTTCGCCTGAGGAGACTTCGCGTCGTAGCCAAAGTCTTGAGAGAGGAGAATGTCCGGCAAGTGATCTAGGGCCCAGTCTGGCCTTTTGCCTTGCGTCATATTTCGAGCCTTCTCTTGAGCTTTCCCAATGAAATCTGCTTCAGATGTTCGGTGGATGTCCGGCTAACTGATCTTGACAATCAGTTGTTTACCCTTCCACTCCTCATGCTCCGATGTGGCCTTGACTACGCAAGTGTCCCGACCGACGATGCTAGGATGGCGCGATATAATCCAGCCAAGGGTGACCTCAACTTTTTCATCCCCTTTAACCAACCTGAGCGTTACTCCAACAAAGACGGCGTCGGGATCACCACATCTATTCATGTAATTCTCGATGAGCACCTTGTCGTTGTAAAATTGTTCTTGGATGCCTCGCTGCTTGAGAGAAAGGCGACCCAATCCGATGGGCATTGCCACGAACGCGTCCGTAACGTCAGTACCCTCCTGTTCAGAGATAACAACCGGTTTGCACACAATGATGGCGGAGCGATCATAGTCCGCCATCATAGTAGAGTGATTGAATGCGTCCGCCCGCAACCAGTGCACCAATACAGTGTGTTCGAATGTCGGCACCAGACAGAATTTCGAGGGCGTAACGACCACACTGGAGTTGTATGTTTCGGCGGGCCTTTGCTATTTCTTCCCGTTGCGCTTCTTCCTCTTCCGAAAGTGCTGCTGCCTTCCTGGTGGCCACGACGTCACGAGCCACGCCAGTGCGGGGAAGTTTGGAACGGACACGAGAAAGGTCGTCGCCGTCTGACCCTGAGCTAGAGCCGGAGGAGTAGGAGCACAAGATAACCCCTAGGGTCTCGATGCAAGATAGGTTACGTCGCACTTTTACTCGGGGACCCTTGTCGTCTGGATACAGAGATTTATTTTAAATGAACGTCAGAAAGAATAAATGAGGCTTACTAGGCATAAGAACGCGATAGATAGCATCAGATCCTTCGTCAAGATAACACTCATCGGGCTTGAATTCCTGACAACGCATACTTTGAACCCACGACACTTTATTCCCAGGTCCATTATCCTGGATAGCATCAAACAAGTTTCCTGAACTAAGCATCGAACGAAGAACGCTCCAGCTATCAGGGATATCTTGAGAGCCACTGTCGACCGGTTTCGCATCAAGGCCCAGTCCACAGTCCTTTTCAGTGACACCTAGAACATCGAACGCACAATCAAACATCAGCCCGTCAGGATGAGAAGTCTTATCTCCAGACTTGGGATTGCATTGTTCGACGTAGGTCTTGACGTGTGTTCTGAATGTAGCATCATTTTTGATGGTCGCAATAAGAGATTGAATCTCGTTATTAGTGTGCCAGTCGTGAGGAAGATGGAGAATTTGGGTGAAAAAATCATCTGCAGGCATGAACACGCGGCTGCTGATATCGGCTCGAATGTATGGATCATATCTTGCCATAGGATGAACTGGATTGGATTTGGGATGAACCTGTGGGGTGTCAGACTCATTGTTGCTGAGCAAAGTGTTGTGCACAGAAGAGCACGACTGGTCGGATAGAGACTCCTGTGGCAGTGTTTTGTTCCCTGTGGCGGACTGTGCAGCAGAGCGATGACTCGAATCCATGCTCGCATCGTGGGACATGGTAGCATTAGGATAATCGAGCGAGGTGGAGGGAGAGCACGAAGGCAAGAAAGGATGTTCAGGTCGCGCAGAACAATAAGTTTATGACCGCAAAGTAATACACGTGATCGTGTGGCGCAACATATTTGGGCACAACCGGCAAATGCCGAGGCTCCTTGAACCAATAAAAAAATCATAAACCAGTAGGATGGCTTAGACTAGTGATCCAAGGGCGATGAGAGAGTCTGTTACGAGTCCTCAGGTCGCTATTCTCAGGCTCTCGATAAACTGAAATGTGGATATTTGTGTAGGGAGATTTCAAGTGAACGACCACCGCAAAGGTAACTTCTCTCTTCCAAACTCCCGTCAGTCGCTGAGGCGACTTCCCCAGAATCTTCACCTGACTGAACATTACATTTGTGCTTCCTACAGCTTGATTAGCCGCCCAAATCTTCTCTTCGTACAACAGCGCCTTCCGCTCTTCGTTCAGGTTTCTCCGGTGCAGCTGATTATAGCGGTACACCGTTTCCTCCGACGTCTCGACCACAAGGTTGATCCCAGCACGCGCTGCACGCTCTTTGTATGCAGAATTATGGTGCAGAGGGCCTTCTCCGTTCCGGCGTCGGCAGGAGAAGACAGAAGCACCGTTTCATTTCTGAGGCGCTGTCCAGGGACGCGTCTTTTTTTGCCATTGCGGAAGGGCAAACCCGACGTTTTCGCATACGCGCCAGTTAACGCCGATGCCCTGGACCTTGTTAGATGGTACTGACGACTCGTATGCAATAGAGCTGGTGTCAACGTCCCCAGCAGCTCGCAAGCATCGACCAGGTACTGGTTGAATCGAAGAATGCCGTAGATGACTTGTCAAGATACTCATGGCATCCGAATGATTGAAAATTCTTGCTTGCAAGGTCAGAACAGAAGTAAAGGATTTTCGACGATACACGCACTGCCTGAGAAGGGTGTTTTTCATATGAGGTCCTTCTGAAGATGTCGATGAATTCGGTAGCCAGAGATGGAATCGACTTGTCAGCGAGATAAGGATTGGAAGGAAGGGTCATAACAAGTCATCCAATTGCGCAGTCGGACGTCCGGCCGCGAGTGTTGTGGGTTGGTAACGATAGAAGTCGGCCCAGCGGGAGTGCACAATCTATAAAAAACCAAGTAAACGTGAAGTGTCGTAACTCGGTTTTAATCACTCATAGATGGTATTCCTTGTGGTGATAGACCAAGGCGAGAGCAGTCCTTACAGTTGTGAGGTGAGCGTTCTTCAAGCAAACATACACCAGCAGAGCTACCTTACGATTTTCCCAAAACATTCTACCTGTGTGCGAATGTCCGAGACTCCTCGTAATATACGATCCTGATGGAATTGGGCGTCAGGGTACTGAAGGAAGAAGATACGAATAACGACCACATATTGAGCTTCTTCCGTCGGAAGTTGAGTAAACGATTGGTGGGTTCTCATATGGATTCGCTTACGTTCGATTCATCTCCGAGGAGATACGTAAACTGCTTGCCTAGTCATGAAAAACGACTTGGTAGATGTCTTACTTGCCAGTCGAAAAAAATTGATAATACATTTCGTTTGAGCCATACATAATCAATTTCAAGCCTATGTAGTTCAACGCGTCGTAGGAAGAGAAAGAGAAAGGACACCACAGCTAGTAGAGGCAAAATTACGTTCGAGGAAGAATAGCAGCAAGTCATACACCGAACCAGTCCACCGAGCATCCATTTCTCGTGCAGAATCCTCCGCGATCTGTGTGACAGACAGGAATTGGCTGGAATTCGTCGTTGAGAGGCCATCTCCTGAAGCAGTAGAGACAGGAATAGGTGCAGCAGTGCTGCTTCCGGTTTCACAATGGAGAGATGTCGAAGCTTCTGCCGAGATAGGTCCGTCTGGATGTTCCCGCCGTCACCACGAGAGATCATTCTCGAAACCTTCATGCAGATGCTCGTCGCTGCTACACTGGAGAGTCGAGAAATGTGAGGAAAGACGCCTTGAGCACGCGTCGATGGTGCCTAATAAGCGATACAGTGGCCTTGGAGCAGAACATTTGTCAGGGTCGTTCCAATGGATGTGCGCAAAAGTTTTTGTCGGTCCAGCTGGGCAACTCCTGCAAATACGACCGAAGCCTTGATAATTCTTCACGTCCTCCTAGGAACTTGATAGGGTAGTTGCTGAAATTGAACGATAGAAAGAACAGAAACATGACACACCGATGCTTGGAAAGCTTTTAGGAACCGCTCGGCACGCACATATCAAGTAACGATGGATTCTCAGACTCGGATATGCAGGTCAGTAGCCCTGCCAGGTCTCTCACAGCCCAATCAGTTGGAAGGCGTTGATGTTCAAGTTGTTGACGTCTTGGGCAAAATCGCGCGCGCACGGATGTATATGGATTGCTGAGCGAGATGAGCAGTAGTCGGTCACCGTTGGTATCGGAAAAGATACTTACTTATAATAACTGTGTGGGCGCAAATTATCCCAATCCATTGTAAACAGGAAGCATATAAAGACTCGTCGGTTTCCAGAGGTAAAAGCAGAGCAAGGACCAAGGCACCTATCGTACACCCTCCGTTGAAGACGTAAGTGATAGTTTTGACGATGTTCTTAGGGTTGGAATCCTGAGTGATGGCGAAGGATGAGTTTCGTGTGGCTGAGGAAAAGCTCTGGACCAACTTTGTATTGTCTGATAACTACCGCTTGCAGCATCGACATCTTGTGTTCCAATTCCGGTCCAGCGGTCTTGCATCGACGGCGAAGATTAGCACTGTATTCCACTGTGTCCGAGCATCTGTCCTTGATTTCTTGAAGAATGTCGTTGATAAGCCCAGGCAGGTACTTTCAAGGTATCCCCAGTATTCGAGGATGTCGTAAATAACATAGAGTGTTTTTTTTTGGACGTGCGATTTGGTAAGACTTCAAGCACATCAGCCAAGCAAAGGAAGGAGGCTGGATATTGGGCTCACAACTGGACGAAGCCCAAATTGCACATGTGATGCAATTTGAGATGCTGGCCTACTTTCGTAGACGTCGATTCAAAGCACTTGGAAGCACGGTACGAAGGAGGATTTGTACGGTGTAAGACTGCCCATAAAGAACCGATCCAGTCTGTGCCATCTATGATACGATTTTCGACGGGTTGCTGATAGAAGCCTGGCCAGCGGAGAGGTGGATGGAAAGCGGGAGAATGCTGAAGATTTTTGGGCGGATCAGAGCATCCCAAATTGGCGCTATCGAGAGTCATGGTAGAAGGTGCTTGTCGGCAAGTTACAGGACTCAAGCAATCAGCTTGAAGAGGGCAAGTGTATCGCCTATCCTGCTCGGGCTCTGACAAGGAGCTGTCCTAGTGAGTTTTAGTATTCACGAATGATTCTCAAGACCCATGAAGCGAATAAATTTCTACTCACTAGATATCCTCCTTCTGATAGCGTTATACTCTCCTCAGAGCCAGACCGTTGATGATAGCGTTTGGTGACCAAGTCTTTGACGCCAAGATGCCTATACTTTATGCAGCTGTGTCGACACCTCGAATAGAAGGAAATCCTAAGCACCGCTATTCAACGCGACACTGAGGTGAGCTCTGAGGTGGTAGTGAAGCAAGAGAATCACGTGTCA